GCCCGGTATATACTGTATATTATAAAAGTCTTCCTATAGGATGACAAATATTAATGACAAGGTATTTACTGTATTCAAATGCTGGTGGTTAAATATAAGATTTAAAAAAACATAAAATGCAATGTTCTTTAATTTTTGAGGGCAGTGCAGAGAAACTACTCTCATATTGAGAAAAAAAAGAAATATTTCACAAAAGGATAAGGTCCAGTTACAACAGGAAAACAGGGTTGGAAAAGGAGCACATTTCATATGTATTTTATCATAAAATTCTGCACAGCTTAAAATGTTGTTTTTGAGTTATTTATTTTTTCTATTTAATTATTGTTTTGTGAAGCCAACTCATTTGGAGTGGCTCATGAACCACCTGCTACAGTCTAACAAACTATATCTGCCTGCTGTGACAAAAGGAACTGAAAAAATGTCAGATAACCATCCATCCCCCCCAACCAGACAAAATACAGATAGCAAAACACACGACGGTAACACTTTAAAAGAAAAGATAAATCATTTTGTTAGCTGAAAGACATGAAAATATTTTTTCGTCATGTCTGGACAGAGTTTAGCACTTTAGATCTGTGAAGAATCTGGAAAAGGGGAATGCTGAAGGAAGATTGTTGAGTTGATATCAGCTTAAAAAAAAGTAGTTTTGGTTTAAGACATTTTTTACATTGGAGCTTTAAGGAATCCCTTTAAAAATGTGTCTGATGATTGTATGGCACACAGGTATAGCAAAACAGACCAAACATCCTTCATGATTTACCATCTCCCTTTGGACTGGCAGAGGCAGTATAGGCAAATGCTAAGGGTGCCACAAATAGGAAACAAAAAAAAGGTATAACTTTTTATCAGAGTGTTTGATTTAGTCTGTAGAGTAATCACTGGTTACTCAGGTTTATGAAGGTAACTTGAATAGTGGGATCTCTCAGCTGCTTCGTTACTATATGAGGTGTTTTATGGTACAAAGGATGTTTTGTGATAAAAGTAACACATGATGCAGTCAAGACTAACTAATGGTGCTCAGTGTGTAAATAGAGAACAAAATAAGCATAATGGAAGTTTCAGTTTTGATCTCAGATTCAGGTTACAATCTGGATTTACCCTCAGAAAATAGTGATTTTTTTAAAATTAATCCCACAAATTTATTAAAATGTTCTTTGAATGGTTGGAAAATGCAGAGCTTTGAGTAGATTTTTTACATAGGAGTATAATCCTGGTCCCCCCTAGAACTGCTCCACTCCACAGCTGCTCGTTAACATGAACAGGTGTTCCTCATGATGTCAGCAGGTGTTGGCAGGTATGAGGTAGATTCTGTTATTCTGTTTCAGCTGATTTAACTATTTAACCCGATTATTTTTGCCTCACTTTTACTGAGAGTCTTCAACTCTTTAGTCAGCATTTACCATTGATGTAGTCCTGCTCCTCAGGAGTCATGACAGAGATCAAATGCCCCCCACACATCCGACAGTGCTGCTCCGCTGCCTCCCAGCTCTGCCGTCTGCTGAAGTGACGGTAACAAAAGCCCTGAAACTTCTCCCAGCCGGGCTCACACTCCTCCACATCTGAGGCAGAGCACACAAAGCTAACGTGTCAAGATATTATCAGTGCAGAATAGAAGAAAAGTGTTGCTACTGTGTGAAAAAATATGTTTCTGTAAGTTAAAGTATTTGTCACCTGTTTGGCAAAAGCGTCCTCTATAGCCCGGCAAGCAAAAGCACCTTAAAGTTTCACCATCGACACAAGTGCCGCCATTAAAACAAGGGTTGTCCAGGCAAGCGTCTGCAGATGGAATAAAACACAAAAAATAAATTACATATTCTTTGAAATAATCGTAATCTGTGGAGCAGAGGTGGAGAAGGGTTTAAAATTCTAGGAATCAGATTTTTAAATTCTTCACATACTCTAAAAAGACAGCAAAAGTGTGAAACAACCTGAGAAAATGTGCAAAAAAAACTCAACTTTAAAACCAGGATGCTGCAAAAATGTACCTGTAATCATGTAAACAAACCGATAATATAAGACTCTGCAGAGCGTGCATTAAACGCTCCAGAAGAACAATAATGCAATTCTACAGAGCATTAGAAGTATCAGTCCGGTGAGGTAACTTCTCGGCACAGAGCTTAAAGAATAAACACTAAAAACAAAAGCTACAAAACACAAACAAAATAAATATAAATATACTGTGCTTATTTCAGTTATATCTTTGCCTGCAGAAACCATTATCAAATACCAGCATCTCAAGTTGTACACTAACATTAGGAAGAAATCTGACGTTCAAATAACAAAACTCACCAGCAGATGGCGGTGTTAAATCAAGATTGGTTAATTAAAGCCAAAGAATGGTAAAGTTGCAATTTTTTAAGTTTTTTTTTTCAAAAGTTAAAAACCTTAAAAATGTACTTTTTATTCCTTTTCTCATAATCTTATAATTTGAATTATGCAACTTGTTATGTAGTTTTATTT